GAACCGCCGCCTCCCATTGGCCCTCCGCGGGAAGGGGCCGCGGCCGCGCGCCGGCCAACCCGCTGGGTGTTGCTAGGTGCCAGCGCGTTCCTATTGGTGATCCGGGTTGGCCATCAGAGGAGCAGAAGGCGGGCCTTGGGGGGCCTTTATAAAGAGGAGGGGGCGCCACGGGGGAGGGAAAAGCGGAGGGGGCGGTGCTGGAGGAGGAGGAGGAGAAGGTCGGCGCTTCTCCCCGGGGAGCCTTCCCCCCCCCCGCGCGCGCGCCTTCTCTCTCTCTCATTCCCCTCCGAGAGGAGCCTGCGGAACCTCCTGCAGCTGGGCAGGTAAGTCTTGCAGGGAGACCGCCCGCCTTGGAAAACTGAAATAAAATCCGATTTATTTTATTTCTTTCCACCACCACCCCCAAAGGCGGGTTTTTCCAGACTTCAAAGAAACTCGATCGGGTTTATTTATTTATTTATTTATCTTTGCATCTTTTTTTAAATGCGCCCCAAGCGTACCACTTGGCAGGAAGGTGTGTGTGTTGTTGTTGTTGTTTTTTTGGGGGGGGAATCTTCCCTTCAACTCCTTTCCTTCCACGGCTTGCGCAACGTTTGAGATCCTGGGGATGATGGGTTTGCAAAAAAAGAAAAAAGTGTGTGTAGGGGGGAAGCAGAAAGGTACCCCCTTTTTTTTGCTAGATCGGGCCCCGATTTTGGAGAGGATCGGGACCCCCACCCTACCCCGGGGGGGTGCGGCGAACACACTTCGGAATTACTGGGTTGTTTTTGTTTTGTTCCCCCCCCCCCAAATGGGGCGACGCGGGCGGGGGAACTGCAGGCGACGTGACGTCCCTGCACGGCGCTGGTGTTCCAGGCACGGAGGCTGAGACCTTCTTAATTTCTATTTATTTCCATCCCTTCCGTCCTCTCTCCCACCCCCCGCCCGTCCTAAAAGTGGGGGGGGGAAGAGAAGATCGCCACGATCGCGTGGATCCCATGCGCTTCCTTCCTTATCTTCCCTACTTTTTTTTATTTTTATTTTTTGCAACGCGTTTAATTAAAATTGCAGGCGAGGAATCGGCATTCCCACCCACCCCCGGGCAGCTTTACTCGCGAGGAGCTCCAAGCGAAAGGAAGGGGCTTTTGCACGGGGCTGGTGGTGTGTGCGGGACGGGTTTACTCGGGAGTCGCCCCCCACTTTGCGAAATCTTGGCTAGAAAAATCCTCCTTTCCCCCCCCCCTTTCTACCTGAGAAGTTTGGAAAAGCTTTTCAGTGGCTTTTCTTAGGGCAAGGCTTGGATTCTTGGTGGGTCTGATCCTGGTTGCAAAAGCGACCCTTCCATCTGCAGAAGGCAGGAGTTCCTGTTGACAGTTTTGTGTTGTTTCCATTTGTGTTTTAATATTTGCTCTTGTGATGCAACCAAAGACGTCCTGTATTTATAGTGTGTGGACATCAATCTATCTCTCTGATGATATTTGTATCATCATTCCTGGGATGTCATGTGTGCATCTCTGAGTGCTGGTTCTGGCTCCTCCTCCCCCCTCCAATGATGCACTCTTGATGTTCTCAGAAGCCCTTCTTGTCTTCCAGGAAAAAAAAGTCTTAGTTTTTTTGTTTCCATTTGCTCCCAAGTCTGGTCTGTATGTAATAAATCCCGATGCCAATTATGTTGCATGAACAGGAAAGTGTGTGTGTGTGTGTGTGTGTACTTGAAAAGGGCATCCAGCTAGTCGCCTGTGGTGACTATAAATCACTCCCTAGGCGACCAGGAAATAAAGCGTGATGGGAAAAGCAGGCGGGTGGCGGGTTTAGTGCGACTGTGTGTGCTTTCTCCTGTCGGGTTGCGTTCCTCTTTACAAGACACCCCAAATAGGGGTTTGCCGGGTATCCGAGTTGCTGAAAAAGTGGTTGAAGGGTGCCCCCCCTGTAAGTGTCCATGGCCAAGCTGGGATTCGAACCCGCATCTCCTGAGACCTAGTCCAACGCTCCTCTACCACGTTCCCAGTGGGATAGCAACTGGTGTGGTTAGTTTTTGTTTGTTGTCATTGTTGCTAGACGGGGAATAAGATGAATAATGGACAGAGAGGGAGAGAGTGTGTGTGAACTCTAAGCTCTGTTCTCTTTTGAATATTTCCATAATTTAGAAAAGTCCGACAGCAATATACCGAGAAGCAAAAAGATTCGGGCATGGAGGAGGGATACATACAGGCAGGTGGCTTATTTCCCCCCCCCCCAATGCTGGTTGCAAGCCAAGCTCCGAAAGGGTGGCTTTTGTGCCCTGCAGTGCCCGTCATCCCCAGCCAATGCCGCCTTGGGGATTCTGGGTGTTGTAGTCCGCACGCATGCACTGCATGCACAAGCTCGGCGTGTGTGGCTCTTTTCTGCGGGGCCCGTCCCAGAAGAGGTTATGAGCTGCTAAGTATATCTTCCCCTCCAGCCCAGCCACCCACGTGACGGGGTTTCTATTTATTTATCGCCCCCCCCATGCGCTTCGGTCTCGGGAGGGAGGCGGGGGGACCCGCTTGACTTTCTGCTCCGGCGCTCCAGAAGGCTTTAAGGAGGTGCAGGAGGAGGAGGAGGCTTTTTTCCACAGGCTACGATTTGGCCCACAAAGCAAGGGCCAAAACAGGTACCCCATGGATTCTCGGATTTTTGGGGGGGGGCAAAAGGGGAAATCATGAAATGTGAGTTTCTCACCCTCCTGGCCCCATCTGTAGCATCTAGCATGGGAGCACACGCTGGCCCACCTGCTGTTTCAAACCCCTTTTGGGCCTTCATGAGGGCTAGAATCCTGCTTCAAAAAATTAAAAAATAAAAAACACCAAAAACTGCCAGTAAATTGCAAGAGCATTTCTCAGATTCCCTCGCCCTGTGCTCCATCATCCTCTTTGGCATCGAATCCTACCCTCCAGTTAACTTGGCTCTTAGCTTTTGTGACCGGCTGGGAGAGGCAGGGGAACTTAAGAGGCCGATGAAACCCCAGGGAATGAGAATATATATATTTGTATATTTATTTATTTTTTTTTAAGTTGCCAGTGTATTGGTAGGGGTTTCCTATGAGGCATCGGTTTGGCTGCTTTTTGTCTGACAATGGAAATGCTTAGTTATACTTGTAAATGTTTTTTAATGTCTTGATAATGTCTCTTTTTTTTAATGTCTTGATAAATGCGTTGAACAATAAAAATTGCCGATGCCTATTCTGTCTTCCTCTCTCAGCAGAGGATGGAAAATGTTCTCTCTGCGCAGACACGGTTCGAGGCGAGTGGGTGGCGGTCCAGATGTGGAGGCAGAGCCCCCAAAAAACCCGAACTGCCTCTCGAGGCAACCCTATGAAGTAGCGATACCTGAAAGGACCTGTTTTGTTTTTTTTAACAAGGAGCTGCTGAGATCTGGTAAACGCAATGCTGTGGTTTCCTCTCTTGGGTCAGTCCATCTCACATTCAGTCCTCCTCTTTCCCTGCTGTCCTGGTTTTTTCCCCCCCCCCCAGCGTTGTTGCCCTTTGGAGCAAGCAGCAGGGGATAACAGGAGCTCAACAACGCTGGGAAAACACTTCCATAATTTAGATGCCTGGGGGTCGCGAGGGAACAGGGCACAGTTTTTCAGGTGCTGAAAGGAAATTTGGGTACGAGGGAACGCTGAATCTGGTCTGCCGTTCTGCTCCCACCTGGGCTGGCCAGTGGCCTAGGTGAATCCCAAGGTGGGACACGGGTGCAAATGCTGCCC